TAGTGTGAGGGATGCAAAAGGTGGCTCTACCTTTCATTTGCTAACATCACTGTAGCGGACTATCGTATTCTGGAGTTGTGTAAATCAAAGTTTTTGAAAATTGTGTGCATAAATTGTTCAGTTCTGTAATCCAAAGCAGACCACTCAGTGCTACTCTGCCGGTTGCTTCAACCCCGATCCGCTCTGATTCAGCTGGTGCACCACGTCGGAAAGGACGGAAGAAAAGTGGACAGAACGGCTGGGATATAGGTGCTCGACCGCTGCTTCACCACCGACGATTAGCATCACATCCCAGATGCCAAATGATGGAGGACTGCCTACAGGATCTTTGTCACATCCCACATCGGAGACCTCGGAGAGGCGGAGAAAACTGCAGAATGCCACCAAACGAAATGCCCCTCAGCGTAACCAGTGCTTTTTAGCACTGAATCTACCCGAGACCTCAGGAGGTCCTAGTCAGGAGAGACTGAACCACGAATTGTGCCAGTTGAGGTCTATATTCGAAAAAGTATTCAAGGGCGAAGAAACCGTAGCCCATGACATCAAGGTTAAGGCAGCATTTCGTCTGGGTAAGATTAAAAAGAATGAACTTCCCCGTTCCCTGAAGGTGGTTCTCGGTCCCAAGACTCAAGCTGAGGAGGCATTCCGTCACTCATACCGTCTGAAAGGCGATCCCGTGCGACTGTTACGTGATCTGGAGCCCGAGGAGCGCTCCAGGTTAAAAACTGCACATGTGAAGCTTCATGAAAGACAATCCCAAGAAGAGGATGATTTAATTATTCGGGATTTTTGCGTCGTCCGGAAGAGGCTGCAACTGAAATGGCCCCCATTTCACACATCCAATGCAATGATTCGTGCGATGGACGGATTATAGAACAAAAACGGAGGACAACGCGGACATCATTCTCTCCAATGTCCGCGATCTACTCAACAAGAGTGATGAAATTGAAGCCTTTGTTTACGCCTGCATGTCGGCAGTTGTCGCTCTCACAGAAACCTTGCTGGCGAGAGACATTGCGGACTATGAAGTGTCAATCCCGGGTTATGTCATGTATGGAGCGGATCGGAACCCAATTCGTAAGGGAGGTGGAGTAATGGTATACATTCGCGATGAGCTGCCATCACATCTTCTGGAGGTGCATCTCGACCATCAGGGGCTCTCGGAATGTTTGTGGTGCAACATTAAATTTCGCCGCAACGGCTATACTGTGGGAGGAGTCGTCTACAGGACTCCTGCATCGGACTCTCCACTATTGTTGGAATCCATGAGGCGCTGGGCTGCGACTGGTCACTGTATCGTGCTCGGGGACTTCAATGCATCACACATTGACTGGGCCTCAAACTATTACACCACGTACACAGATCACTTCTCACGGGAATTGCATTCAACAGTCTGTGAACTAGCTCTTCATCAACAAATGCAGAAACCCACCCGCAACCTCGGTCAGCAGTTATCCACATTGGATCTTGTTCTAGATCCTCGTGTCTCGGACGTAGCTAACATCCAGTTTCTCCCACCTTTCGATGCCAGTGATCATGTGGTGTTAATTGTATGCTTGAGACGTGAGACCCCCTTCTCACAACCACCCCCAGAGGGGCGGAATGTATGACGGATACAGTTCGATGACATGCGCACCGCAGCGCAGTTGTTAAACTGGGAGCCGATCGACAAAGATGTCAAAGAGTACTTCTAATTTAGGCTATGATGAATACTGACTAATACTGAATCAGTGTTCGACAGCTAAGGTGGCCAAACGCCGTGCTTTCGAGGAGCGTCTAGCTGCTGAATCTGCCACGGCGCCGAAGAGGCTATTTGCGTACTTGAAAGGGGGAACCAGGACGGTGCCTAGTCTCTTGAGTCTTGTCGAGAATGAAATTACTGTTGACACGGATGTGGACAAGGCTGGTGTACTTGCTCGGCATTATGCTTCTGTGTATACCGGAGCAGAGATCTCGAACTGGTCCCCTTCACCTCCTCATCGGGTTTTGTGTTTGCACCCTCCTGACGTGCTCCCAATCAGTGCCCCTTATCTGGAGGCCAGTGACGTCGCCAAGGTACTACATGGCATTCGTCAATACCAATCCCCGGGTCCAGATGGAGTTCATCCGTTGGTGCTGAAGGAGCTGGCTGATGTCGTATCAACCCCGCTAGCCCAAATGTTCAACTTGTCTCTCCGGACCGGCAGATTACCATTGGACTGGAAGAAAGCGTTGGTTGTTCCCTTGTTCAAAGGTGGTGATAAGCATGCCCCGGTCAACTATCGGCCCGTGAGTTTGACTTGTGTGGCATGTAAGATGCTAGAAAAATTAGTGGCAATGCGCATTATCGGTCACCTGGAGGTGCAACATTGTATTTCTGCTCGACAACATGGCTCCTGACGGGGCCTCTCCTGCTTATCCAATCTCCTGTAGGCGCGTGAGCATTGGGCGGAGTCTAAAGCTAAAGGTTACTCCAAGGATGTTGTGTTCGTGGATTTCAGCAAAGCGTTTGATAAGTTGTCTCATTCGAAACTACTGGTCAAATTGAGGTCAATGAGCACCCAGGACCCGCTGCTCTCCTGGGCTGAGGACTTTCTAAGGGACAGACTATTCTCGGTGAAAGCGTCAAGGGTAAGATCATTATGGTTGACAGTTTCTAGTGGCGTTTCGCAAGGATCGGTACTGGGACCAATACTGTTTCTGCTTCTCATCAATGACCTGCCGAACTGCCTGGAATCGGAATATCTGTTGTACGTGGATGATCGGAAGATCTGGAGACCTATCCAGTCAGAAAGTGACGTAAAAATCCTGCAGAGAGACCTGGATTATTCGATGTACTGGTCGAGAGCGCGGGATTTACCCATCAACCCTATGACGTGCCATTATATGCACATTGGCCAACAGCCCAGTCCAAGAGTGTACCACCTTATGGAAACTCCCATACTGGCATCCGCATGCAAACGGGATCTCGTGGTGCTGGGTTCCGCGTCTTTGAAAACCAGGGAGCATACGGACAAAGCCTGCGCTTTGAGTTGGAGAATCCTTAGAGCCATTTGCCGTTCCTTTTCTAAGCTCTCACACGATGGTTTCAGGGCGCTGTACACCTCCCATGTCAGACCTCGTTTGGAGTTCGCGAACGCAGCGGCATGTCCGTGCACAACTGCCAAAATTGTGAAACTGGAGAGGGTACAACGAACTGCCACTCGCATGATTGCCGGGTTACGTGGGGGCTGCTACACTAAACGATTGCATGCTACTGGACTGTTCCCCGTGTTCTATCGCCGAGTACAGGTTGACATCATATCTGTACGACGTATTCTACGTGGTGACATGGGCCCAGAGATATTGGAGCAATTCCCTCTGCGCGAGCAGAGCAGGACCTGGGGACACAGACTTACGCTGCTAGAGCTTCCGTCGATAGGATTACCTCTTCGGTACCGACTATCGTGCAGGCTAACCAACCTATGGAACTCCCTTCTAGCCGATGTGGTGGACGAGGTAAATGACAATATGTTCAAGAGGAAGCTCTACAGCGTCCTCCGAGAAATGTGGTATGCAGATCAGTCCTGAATGCATTCTTTGAGTTCGTGGTGACGAGGCTCATACGGTAAATTTCCCACTGCCTCTAATGGAAGAACGTTGAAGAACATTGAACATTGAACATTTATTGTAGTGATCATTCACATCCCATTCTAAATGTACCCTTCCTCCTGTGCATCTCATTGTTTTATCGCATTAAGGCCATCTCTTTGGTCAGCACGTGTTTGCTTTTACCTTCCGCAAGCTTGCTCACCCCTCTGTATCCCTCTCTTGCATTACAAGCCGTCCTCCGTTTCGTGATTCACCTCGTCCTCTTTTCACACGAACGTACGTTTGCGACCTATACGTATTAGCTCGGGGTATCGATAAACTAGTGCCTACATTATTGAATAGTTTGTTAGATCACGGTTGAAGTATATAAATTGAACTAAGTATAGTGGAGTCAAAAGGTCTTTAATTGTGGGTTAATTAAAAAGTTATACACCGTTACTGCCAAACTTATTTACGACTATCACCTGTGCAGCTCCCAAATAAGTCGAACGGGACGCTCAGTTGACGGTCGAGGGGGTCACTCAGGGGATGTCAAGTGGCTGCCAGGGGATGCCCGGGCAACGTTAATGCCGTATGGGTTCATAAGGTGACAAAACTGTGCATTTTAGGCGACTCAACGGTGATGGTCGTGTTGTCTGGAATAGATCATTATCATAACCATATATAGCAGAAACCGGAAAGATCAAAGCTACAAACCTTCTTTAAACCCTGTCCGTGACGCATGTATTTGGAAAGGACGGAGAATTCTGCTTACAGCTTCGCGGAAATATCTTAGAAATGTTATACATATCGACCAATTTCAGCTGGTTATCGCAAGAGGCATAAAATCAGTCTGCGTTTTACAGCAATAGAATATCTGAAGATTTCAGGTCAAGAAAACGTGCCAAAATGCAAAACTCTGGACGCTTTGTTGACGAGATATTCTCAATAAATGTTTACTCTTCCGCTCTCTATTAATCTTAGATACTCATTGGACACACTGTTTTAGAGAGGGTATCGCCGCACTCTGAAAGGGACTGTAATGTGATGAAAAATCGTTCCATATGCTGGCAGGGTTGTAAATCGCACGAAATCATTTCTGATAACTGAACTGAATTAAATGGATGACAATTTGTGACTTGCTAATCGAACGTTGTCTCACAAGCAAGGTTGGGTTGAAATAGATCATAAAACTAAGCGCTGATCTTTGAAAATATTATCATTGCTTTGTAAATGCATTTAACCTATTGCATCCTAACAATATCTAATGTTTCCCGATTATAAAATGGAATCAACCCGTGGGTGAAAGAGGTTACCTCAGCTTCAGCTAAGGGTTCTTACTCGGTAGACCCAGGTTGTGTCTTCTGTTGTCCATAGATGAAAACAGTGAGAACAACTCATCGACCTTCAGGTTTGCTAGAACCTATACAGTCTTAAACGTCTTTATCTGGTCTGTCCTAATCCGCTTCCGTTTGGAAAAGAACAGATTCTAATCCCAAAGTCGATGTTTATATGCTTTTCCTCGTTACCTATCTGCCAGCCATGTGGCTAGAAGTTCAAAGTCTTCTAAGCTTTCAGCTTCCGTTCAGTAAAACGGAATCCAAGAGTACAAACAATGTTGCAGATGCAGTTGGACATTGCTTTGCTTACGGAGAAAAATGCCTCAGGTGTTCAGCACATCATCATTGCACATGAACTAAACGGTTGTTCCCTGGTTTTGGTTGCTCTCTTTATATTTTGAAAACTTGGCTTAAAGTCCAGGGTTGTCATTATCCATAGACCTTCTGTCTGTCGTACATCCTGCATCGACGAATCTATTCTTATCTCCTCGTCAGTCTTGATCCTCAGTAACAAAAGTTTTGAAAAGTTATATTAGGTCCCACTTATTGGTCCATCCTTTAAGTAATTCTACATTTCCTCCGGGATCCAATTCAGAAATCGTAATTTCATCAGCCGATACAATACAGGGGCTTCTATGACCCTGTGGTAGGACGTATATGAAAAGCAGTATTGATAGAGATCTAAGTATCGATTCTGGAGGTACTCCGCCAGTCGTCACTTCAACTTCGGAAATGTGGTCTCCCACTTTATTGTTCGTTGAGTAAAACCCTCCACTATCCAGCTCCTCACTTGTTCATTTATATCCAACATCTGCATTGTTTTGGTTATAACTGACCAACATAATGCTTTATGAAGGTCTAGATTGCATTCCTTCAATAATCCGCCAATGTCAATGCGACATGTGACCTCGTTCAAAACACCATCGGGCATCTTCAGGCATGACCTGTTTTCAACAAACCTATGGTGACATGGCACCAACAGCCTGCTTTGACCAGTTACGGGTATATTTGTATTCTAACTACATGTTTCAGGTAATAAAAATGAATTATATTAGGTCTATTGGTCAGTGGATCTCAGGTTGTTGCCGAGATTCGAATTCATATATCGCCACTAATGTGGCTTTACGCCAGTCGTCCGGGACAACTCCTAATCTAGGAGAATATTTAAATAGCTTGAAGATTGAACCCACTATGACATCTGCCAGCGATTAAAACCCGCGGGGTGTAGCCCGTCAAACTTTGCTGCCTTGCATTTGTTGATTACTCCTAACTGAAGCCGCACATTCTCTAATACGACATTGATATGGTGCACTGAATTGTGTAGATTCCGCAGTGTTTGTCTACGTATAGATCTAATCAGCAATTTTCTGTCACTATATTCACAAAAAATTGTTTAGTCATATCTTTAGTATTTTATTATTTCTCCCCGATGCGTTGGTTACTTTCTAGGATAGATGGTAAACCATAGGATGTCCTACCGACGCTGAGTCAAGAGTCCGTTAAAGTCTGTTCGTTCAACTCCACTCTTGCACTGGGAGAAAGACATAAGTTTGGATACAGATCTCCTTGAGTAACATGTCTGGTATCAATTAAATTAATTCTTGTTCATCTTTAAGCCGGGGTAAACGGGCTTTTCTCCTTACCAAATGCTTAGTCCAACAGAAGAACTACCATAAGTTCAGTTTAATGTATAGAGCACAATAATAAAGTTCAAATGTCAGGTCCAGGCAATACTAATTTAACAAATATTCAGATCGCTTTTAGCCAAACAGAACCAAAATCTGCACCCAAACCACATTGAAACGGCCTTGCACTTTTGTCATCATTCAAGGTGAATTACAAACCTTTTGCTTAACCCTCTTTTGTAATAATAAAGAAGCTATTCCAACATCTTGACCACATGTGCGGTGTTGTACTAACTCGTGACGTTTACATATGTACACGCCAGTGGAACTCTCAAAACAGAAAACAAAATTAAGACAATTTTGTTTTTCTACAATGTTTTATCAAACGTGGATGTCAAAAATAAATACGGTGGAAAGGCAATAGGTCAAATATGTTTAATTGTATTTTTGAACGGATTGTTATCTTCCTTTTATTTTTCTGGGTAATACGTTTCTATTGATTTTTGTACAGTCTCAGAACTAAAAAATGTATTTGATATTCGGCTGTCATTGCTGTGCATCTCAGTTACGGAAAGAAGTGCAACAGAATATTCACTCTAAAAATTGCATAACAGATGAGTGATATAGAAGCTACAATGTACGTCAATCCAGTTCAGTTAGTACCATTTGGCTAGCGTAAACGCGAAGCAAGTCATTACTCGAATTCATTCATTGATGGTTTCACCGTAATTGGATCTCATACAAGTGCCTTATTAAATAGCAACAGTCTATAAACTAACTCTTTATGTTTGAAACATCAACATGTGTAACGCTAGTTGTTTCCGTGTCTTCAGTTTATTCGCTTACAGCAGTTCAAACCATCCCTAATTGGTTGCTGCAAGCAGAAACGAGAAGAAACAAGCACAATGGAAGTATAGTATGCAATAATAAGTAGTCACTCACCCAGAAACGGAATAATATTTCTAAAATATGTCTGCATCTTTGTCATCAATCATCTTGTCTTGTGAAATTACAAATAACTAACTCATATTTGTTCACTCACATTGCACTGGGCATTGTATAGATTTCAAATAGATTTTCGTGCTCTATTGTAGGTTAGTATATGCATTTTGAAATCAAACTGGTTGAACAAGACTCTGGGAGTGAAGGAATACGGGTAAATATTAGACTTAGTTTGCACAACTGACTAAGTGGAGCTGTATCATCGAAATACGGTAGGTACATCCCATACTTCACTTATTAACTCTTCTTATACAATAACTTTTCCCAATCATTTGGGATAGGAGAAGAAATAATACACATATTACATTTATCGGTAATTCAGTGTAGATGCACACTGTACACCCATGCCTATAACGGCAAGTCGGCTCCGAAGTGCAACAATTTCCCTAATATACACGTAGAAGCAGTCTCTTGTTTCGAGTGCTGAACTTGAATTTCCTCCAAAACCAATTTTTGCGCAAAGTGAAGATACCTTCACCCCTCTTAAACTCAACAAAAGAATACCCGGGACACTTCAAATCACGTGGTGCCTAACATTTCTTAAGTATATTTTTATATATATATATATATATGATATACGGTGCTCAGTCGATTCCACATTGTTGAATTTCGTCTCAAATAGAAAGCTTCCATAAAAAAGATGCATGAGTAGATTACAACCAATAACTGCTACTGACTTTTCGAAGAGGAACTGCACAGTCTTCGAAGGTGTTTAATACTCTTTTACTTAACGTTTTACTTCAAAATCCAACGAAATTAGGTTTTGGTCTTTTAAAATAATATTTTGCAGACAGACATACACCTTTGAAATAAATGATAAGCCCTGGTAAATCTTCGAACGTGTAACAAACGGACGAGACATCAAACAATAAAAACAACTTTTGTTCAACGCGTTATTTTTTTCCATTGTTAACTTGGGAATACCGGGTATGGATCCATAAAACATGTGGTACTCCATTAAACCGACGTCGGATTGTTTACTTCCTAATATGTTCACAGAAATAGCAATAAGCCATCATAATACAGTCGCAAAAGTGTTCAAGAAATCCGCAAATTCTGGAATGTTTCTTGAAAACGTCTGATAGGGGATCAGCATATTGCTTCAACCATATTCAAGATGTAAACATACGCTTTGTTCACATGAATCCATAGNTAAAGTCGCAAAAACTAGGACAACCTTTTACCAAACGGCTAAAAAAGAAGGGTTGTCATGATTGTATCCCCGTGCACTAGTATTTGAATTTCGTACTAGAATTGTGCGCAATAATCAGCGTTGGCAGATAAAAGCTACAGTTGAGACCACTATGAAACTGTGACACACATCTTAGTCAAAAATCATCGTGTGTCTCAGATTGATATTTTCAGCACATAATGAACAAAAAAAACCGAACGCATCTGGGCAATCGTTTTTCGAGAGCAAAAAAGGTAGGATACACAACATCGAATCAGATGTGACACCGCTAAAGGTTAAAAGAGATCGTGGAATCAACCCACCGGTACTACGATAATTATTTTATCACAGAAGGGTAGGAAAATCTATATCCGTGAGATCGGAGGATCACTTAAAATCGCAGTGAACACCTCATCTTTCTCAGATATTTCCTCAAAGTGCTTAAAATTTTACTGTGAAATAGTTACAGAGTGTTGCGTATAAGTTACCCTGAACGCAGAAAGTTCGTGCTATTAGTAGTTCCAAATTTATGGTGATTTGTTTAGACATAAATTTTGCTGCTTAATAGAGGTAGGTCAAAATTCTTTTGAGAGTCTGCATGAAGTTCACCGCCAGGGCATCATTAAAAGCTCATCATTCTGTTCACTTCCGTATGAAAGCACGGTTTTAAATCTCCTCGGTACGCTTTCAACCGTATATTGTGGAGTTGTACTGCTTATGATTTTGTCTTGAGATCTGAGAAGTGTGCCCATCTATGAACTGAATCAGGGAGATTATTTCATTTGGTGACTTGGGCTGATTAATGGGGCAGGATTAAAATGAAGATTAATAATACCACCGTGAATAAACCTACAGGCTAGTTAGTTTTCCATGACCGCAATATGTTTGATTATGCGGTTTTGGCCCCCAAAGGTACCAAGATTTTACTCCTCTTTTTTGATCTTGATTATTTCTTTCATCCCTCTGCTATCATGAAAGGTGAGAAGTAAATAGTTGTTCCGACGTGAGGACTTTCGGAAGAAATTTTTCTTTCTACCAGAGATGTTTGATCCGTCTGCTTTTTTAGTGGGTTGCGTAATACGTTTGTGTTCGAATATTTTTTGAAGGCCTTTGCGACAATCCAAGTCGACTGCGCAGATATCAGCTCAGTTGTATAGTTCCATCTCTCAGCCGTTGCTACCAGTATAGGGGAATTAAGTATCTCATCAAGTTTGTGTTTTGCATTTCTATAATTTGGTTAAACTTAAATGTGAACATTTTAGTTAAAAACTGCAAGTTATCTGCTGATGTTGGACAGAACGTCATATCCTTTTATCTGTTCATCAAAGTTTCTCATTGAGACTCTTAAGGATCCATTTACAGTACAAGTATCTTGGTTTGATTGAATGTTTTATGGGAGCAAAGAACAAATCCAGACTAGTTGCAAGCAGTGCACTTTGATACATCAATAAAATAAATTGTTTATTGGACCGCTTTTCTTAGATAGTTTGTTCGTGGACACTTCTTTGTTCATTTCTTACAGTGTTTGACTCGGATCTGTTGTGTTGTAATACCTCTGCAAACAATGAGATAAAAATTCCATCTGAGTGAAGTAATAAAGACATTATGCATCAAATTGATGTACAAACAAGATCATAATGTATGTGTCAAAGCATAGTTGAAGTTTTTAAAACCTTAAACTAGACTGACAAGTAATTATCGTGACTTCTTTCAAATTTCAGGGTAAACTTTACCAAGGCAAACATTTCACTAAAAATGTAGGCTTTGTTTACACGCAATCTTCAGATAAGAGAGTAAAAATCTGGCCATTTATATCAATTTTAAGGTCAAACTCCTTGGTTCACTTCAAATACGAGGACATCCTTCTTCCTTTAGGTGATTGTTTTTTCTGATGTATGGATGGAGTTATTTTAAAAACTGATCGATTATTTGTTAGTAAAATTTGATCTACATCAAGATTGAAGAAATACATTAATCATTTTTTATCTAATTAATTCGAGTCATCAAAATCGTACCAGTGATTAAGTCACTGTCATCGGCGTGCTTTGGACTCTCTATTCCGAGGTTCGAGCCCCACCACCTTCACCCAACTTTGGTGATAGGCGCTTCCCTGTCGTCCGATTCGAAAACACGCCCTACCAACGGGGCCTTATGTGGTTTGCCACTCCAAGTCCCGGGGCTTAGGTTGCCGGTTGCCATCACTGAACAGCAGGTATTCGTAACAACGGGGTCCACCCCGTCATCATACACCGGTGTGTAATGAAAAACAGCTTATATGCTGAATTATCTAATTCGATTGATTATTCCTTTTGTTTCAGAAGACAACCCCAATGGTGCCTACCTTATGGACTTTGGTTATTTCACTGCTTTGTTCTCTGAGCAATGCAAGATATACACACCGATGTAGAATTCCAGCCGCACAAACTCTGGTACGTCTTGTCAAATTCACTTGTTTTCTTTACTTTACGATTGCGGTGATGTACATTTAGACTCGTGCTTTTCATCCGGAAGCGGTCCTCGCTGCGGCATCTGTTCCAAACGTATTTCGTATTGAACCGATCTACACGGAAGACTTCGAAAAAACCGCAAAGAGCGAAAAGATCAAGGTAAACCAATTTGCTTCCCTGTTGATGAAAACTCACTATATTATACTGACTCTTGCAAAACGATAAACACTTCACTTGTAGAAATATGCTTCTAAAGCTTGTGTTTTGCTCGCATTTTTTGTCATTTGCTTTGACATAGAAAGAAGTGATTGAATACGCAATTCAGTTCTGGAGGCAAACACTGAAAGCAAAATCACCCACTCCGGGAGCCTTCAGAGTGTCGAGGTGAGTTTGCAGTACCACTTTCTCCCTTTTCCCCTGATATCGAGTATATCAGCAATTGCTTTTGATTGGGATTTGCGAATATGAACATCTTTTTAGAAATATTTTAGTATTTCGTTTTTGGGGAGAAGTGTTTTAAAGACATTATATTACTCAACTCCGACAGCCTCTCAGTGCCTGGTTGAAATATTAAGAGCCTTTTCTGGCAATGAGGAGAGAGCTAATAATTGAGTTTTATTGAATAATTTTTTCGGATGAAACTAATGATGTAGTTACAAAGAAGCACTGAAGAAGCAATGAGAATAGGATGCGTCAGAAATTGGTAATACAGCTAAATGTTTAGATCAGGAAACCAAGTGTTGATTGTCAAAGCAAGTATAAAGGTTTTAATGGGATTACGAGTTGTACCTGCAAGCATCGATCAAACAAATAGCCTCATTACGCCATATTGACAGTAGTTTAGATTCCTTTTATCAAACAAGGATAAAATATTTTAAGATTTGGAAGGACATCAATAGGATGATGGAGATTGGGTAACATGATAGATGAGTGTCAGTAGAATGTAGATTGAATGCAATATCATCCTCGTCAACGTTACCAGACTTATCTGCAGATCATTATTTGTCATTGGTCATCTTACTGGCTTGCAAGTAATGCGACAGATCCCCTTGTGAATACCAGCATCGTGTCCGAATTTCTCCTTGACATGCTCCTCTGATTATCCGCTGCACATAAACGGCGCATGCTTGAGAATAAGGCTACTTTTAGACATACTAAAGGTCGTATCGTCCACGTTCTCATTCGTTACCCAATGCTAGAACAAAGACAATCCTTTCATAGACCCACTGTTTCTGCCTTTCTCGGTCGTAAGGTCGTTTTTGTCTTAGTCAACCTTTCTATATTCACTGGCACTGCATTTCCATAAATTATTTACCCGAGAAGTATTGCGATTCCTTTGCATTAACAGCCAAAGCCGAGTTCAATCTTACGGCAATTTCTCGCCCGAGTTGAACGCAGAATGTGGTGTTTGGCAGTAATAGCCTATCTCTCCGTTTCTATATAACTTTGAAATAAATTTGATTCTCCTAAGAATTCCTGTCCTCGTGGGAGGATTACAGCATACATGAGTTTTCCGGTGGCAGATTTTCTAGTCCGGAGTATGTGAACGATACTGTTATTCTAAATGAAGATCCAGGTAATTTGCGAGTTTTTCTGAATGGCTTTGGTGTTAATGTAGCCATATTCGGCATGCTTAGAAATCTTGAGAATGAGTACATTCTTATAGGACTGAGTTAGTCCTGCTTTTAAGCTCATCCGAGATAGAGAAAATAGGTAAATTGTGCTACTTTGGCAGGGTGGTAGTGGCGCAGTGGTTTAGCCGCTGCCACAGAACTCTATAGTCCGAGGTTCGAGCCCCGCCACCGCCACCCAACTTTGGTGGCAGGCAACCTTGCTGTCGTCCG